AAGATGTCGCTTTCTGGTTTATAGAAACCCCTTCTGAAACTATCATTTAGCTTTAGTAATCCAGAGTGAGGCACACGAACATTTAGGTGTCATCTGAAATAGTCACATTAATCTAATTCCCGAAAATGAGTCTTGTTTTTTTTCCACCCACCTGGTGGCACAGAGCCATTTGTTAAAATCTCACTAAATCCAATATTGATCTTTGTCCTAATTTGAATGAGGAAATGCTGTTAAAGAGTCTTTGATGATTAACCATTTATGGGTTTTTTGGTATTCATCATTCCTGTTTTGATGGGTTGGTAATGCTTACTTTGTTTCATGGAAAACTTGCCATTAGCTGTTATTAGTTGACTGAGATTAGTTTAGAATAATTAGTACATTTATTTAATCAGTTGGATCCTAACTTTATTTTCCAATTAATGCAAACACGAACATTTAAGAGGCACCCCAAGTGGCTATTAAAGTAACTGATGTTCTGCTTTCTTGGACTTCAGCTATATTTTTATATAAACTGTTATTTGGCTTTTAAATGTAAGTTTGAGTTTTCTCTGCAGGGTGGCTGGGCTCTCCCTTAGAGATAGGGTGAGAAGCTCAGTCATCCGGGAGGGGCTCTGAGTAGATTCGCTGCTCTTCCACATCGAGAGGAGCCAGTTGAGGTGGCTCGGGCATCTGGTCAGGATGCCTCCTGGACGTCTCCCTGGTGAGGTTTTCCGGGCACGTCCAACCAGGAGGAGGCCTAAAGAAAGACGCAGGGCACATTGGAGGGTCTATGTATCTCGCCTGGCCAGGGAACACCTCTGGATTCTCCTGGAAGAGCTGGCCCAAGTGGCTGGGGAGAGGGAAGTCTGGGCCTCTCGACTTAGGCCACTGCCCCCGCGACCCGACTTGGGATAAGCGAAAGAAGATGGATGGATGGATGGATGGATGGATGGATAGAAAATATCCATTAAGCTGTCTATGAAGTCAGCCTTTGCCTTTCAACATTTGGTCAGACACTGTTAATCACCAAGGCTAACAAATTGATAAATATATACCTGGATCAGCATGCTGAGGTCAACTCTACTTAGATATTTTAATGCATTTGCAGTGGTCTCTAGTAGCATTAAATGCCCTATACATCGTTCTCAGGGGAAAGAAAGCTCTGGTTCACCTGTTTGAAGATGTAGGAGTCAGCTGGAGGAGAAAGTGGCTTCAGATGGCAAGATTTGGAGTCTTATTTCCTGATAATTGGACACCTCACCTCTGATTGGATACCAGCAACATGACTCTACCACTGACTCTGTTTGCTCTGCAATGTGGAGGTTTTATCTCGACAAATACCACAAGCCTGAAGGAGTTCTGCTGTGTGGTGGTGTTGCTAAAGCTAACTGTTAGCTTCTACTGGCTAAGACGTTCTCTGCTGTTTCCTGGACGCTAAGCCAACAACAGCCTTCCCTGTCACAAGTCAGGATAGTGAGTTCATGAATGTTAAGGACAGTGTGATGTCACTCTGTCAGGCTTTTCTAATCCTAGAGTTTCACCATTTTATTTTCTATCAGAAGCTAAAGTGGGAGATAAGTGTAGGAGACTATTTTCATGTTCAACCTGCATGAAAATCTCAGTGAACAACTTTTTTCAAAAATGGTTTATCGGTGAACCTGCTGTTCGAGTAAAAATAACTACTACATTGTAATATGGCAGTTATTAAGGAGCTGTACGTTAACATATTCTCAGCCACCTTGTTTTATGTACCAGTACTTTAGAAAAGCGTGGTTTCGACACTGACTTTATGTCAGAAAACTGAGACAAAACATTTTCCTCTGCCTTGTTCTTCTTGCTGCTCATTTGTAAAACATGCATACTGTATTTCTTCTGAAACTATCCAACCTTCCCCTTCTTCTGAGTCTCGTTCCATCTTCCTCTGTCTGTCTTCAACCACTGATTAATCCCCATTTCTTCCTCCTCCCAACCACCCAGTTCCAGGCCGTTAAATGAGCTGGTTTATCAAAGCCTAATTGGTTAAAGGGCAAACAGAAATGAGCAAAGGCTCTCCAAGTAGAGGAGAATTACTGTTTCTGTTGGCAGGAACGATCCTTTGTGCCACAGAGACAACAAAGAGGGATGCAAAATGGAATTGGGAGATTAGAGAATGAAACTAAGGCAGAGCAAGGAGAAGTGCAGAGGGAAGTGGGTGAGGTGAAACAGACAGGAAGGAATTGGGAGAGAAACAAACAAGGTTGAAAAGGAGCGCTGCACACGCTTTTTCCTTAATGTCATGCAAATCCTCGATTTCAATCTCTCCCGTGTTAGCTTTCTGCTGTGGGTCTCCATGCCCCTCTTCAATCATTTGTTTGTGAATGTATATCGCGCCATGTGTGTGTAATGTAGCGTGTGCGCACCACTACGACTGAAGTATGAACCCAAACCGTTTGATCCTTCATTGCAGTTTGCCCAGGTGAATAAATACACATTTGCAAAGACTGCAGCATGATTCTGCTTTAGTTTGTTCTGACTTTTTTTTTTTACAGTCAACAACTAATAGCTTCTTTTCATCCTCAGAATTTGGACAGACTGAAAAAAAAAACATTTTTTCCCATCCTTTTTGTTTTCTTTTCTTGCTTTTAATGGCTTACAAATGGATTTCATAAATGAGAAAAGTCATAATTGAAAAAAAATCTCTAATCTAAACTTTTACCATCAGATTCATACTCATAAAGTTAAAGGATACTAGGTTATTTTGCTTGCTTTTAGCACCCCCAGTGTCCATTATTAATTCACTATAGTTGAACCGAAAATGAAACTTTTCTCCTCGCTGTGTGTTTGTCTTTTTAACACCTTAATCCAACTGCTGAAATGTCTTCCCAGCCTTCGTTGGTTTCTAGAGGAGCGATCCTTCACTAAAGCAAACAAATCAGCTGTTTTAGTGATTTAAAACATGCAGGAAACATGGAAGCAGACTCCAGCTCCATCCTGTCAGCTCGACTCCACAACTCCCTCCACCAGCAGAGACCAAAGTCCGGTATTCTGGCCACAGGAGGTGGTGGAGGTCTGAGCAACATTTCATCAACCATGTAAAGGGTCGTTTTGTCACATGTCTCAAGAAAATGGTTTAAAAATATGAAAAAGTTGCAAAGTATCCCTTCAAAAGTAAAGATCCACCTTTAAAAATGAGACACACCCTAAATTCCCATTCATTTTGCTCGTAGCCATCTTTCCACATATCCGTCAGTCACCCAGTTCATCAACTAATTAATCTCGTATCAGGTGTTTGTGTGTGTGGATTGATTAAATAAATCAGCCATGCATCCATATGGTCTGAGCTGCTGATTCCTCAAGCACATATGCAAAAAAGACAGTTTTGATCTGATTTCCACTTGTAATTAGATCATTTGTGACAGGACAAGCAAGGATAAAGTGGTCAGCAGATCCACTTTCACACACACACTCACACACACACACACACACACACACACACACACACACACACACACACACACACACACACACACACACACACACACACACACACACACACACTACAATAAAGCCAGGAAAAAAAGAAAACAGCAACAGATTGGAGTTAGTTCAGTGAGCATTTTAACCTTCCCATGGGGTAACTTCTTTTCAATTAGCAACCCAAACAAGAAAATCACTTTCATCTATGTTACTGAGGTAACCCAGGGGACATCTCCATGCCCATCTGCTTCATTCTCATCTCATCTTCTAAAAGCTGAAATCACACCCCTCAGCTTGCAGGGAACTTTCACCCTGCCCCTCCATCTCCACCCTGTTTCATTCACCACTCATCTTTCATCCGTTTGCTGTCATTTCATACAGAGTAAACCTTTTGAACCTCAAAATATCCGCCCTTGCAGAGGTAGCAATTTGGTCCATGGCTTGGTATCTGCAGCCTGTGTTAAAATCTGATGAGCACAAACAAGAAAGCCGCTGGCAAATTATAGAGAGCAAGAGCTGGGAACAATTCTGGAGCAGCTTTGTAAATGATTAAAGAGGCAAAAGAAAAAACCTGTATATGAAAAAACTAACGCTAATAATGCTCTTCATTCACTCTTGTGCAGATGCAGACCGCCACAGGAAAGCTGGTGAGTTCCTGTCTCTGTTTTATTAGAGAGGATGACTGACGGCACAGCGACCTGGGAGAAGACACCATCATGTAACCAGGAGTGGAGCCAAAAGATAGTGACTGTGGCTGCAGCCCTTGGAGTGTTCGGTCCCTCAGGTCCCAGCGCAGAAATGAATATATATATATATATATATATATATATATATATATATATATATATATATATATATATATATAAATAAAGAAACACGAGGTGATAATGGCTACTGTACCAGTGGCACCACAGCTTATTCAGTTGTCTCTATCAGGATGGACAAAGAAGTAGGAGGAAGGAAAAAAGGAAAGAATTGGACAGAAGAAACAATTTTCTGTCTGTTTGCTTTTTTCCCTCTCAGCATACAAGAAAACTTCTCATCAACACTGTTCAGGAGTTTGTTTAAGCTTTTTAGAATGCTAAATCACGCTAGGGGGTCACTTTTAACCAGAAGATATTTACTTATGTGTGTTCCTGGGGAAAAAATATCAAAAGTTGGAGAATTTTGCAGATTTGACAGGCAGTTACAACAAAGCTTTGTGCTCCTGCTTTGAAAGAGGGATTGCTCTTGGAAAAATGAATCTCAAGCAACTCTTAATAAATGTTTAAACCTTTATGCTGCATAAAATGGCTTACATGCAGTAGTTTGTTGTATAATGCTATGGTATCCACATTTAAAACAAAAAAGTGTTGTTTTTGTAAGAACATGTGTAGTTTTGAGATCAAGGACGCTGCATTAGGGGAAAACCACACACAACCAAAGCAATCCACGTGCCATCCTGGAAGCCGGGGACGCAGCAGCGCAGCCCAACAGAAAGCATCACAGGCGTCTCCAGAGCGCACCGCGCGCGCCGCGGCCACATCTACAGCAAGTGGATTATTAGTCCTAGATTCTTTATTTACCTTCCATCGCAGATGATGCGGTGAGCAGCACGCATAGAAGCGCAAACAAATCCACTGTCATGGCAGAAGAAGGGGAGTCTCCACAGCCCGTCCCCAAATAATCAGGACGCACAGCGCGCGTCCAAAAAAGAAAGGAAAAAAAAAGAAAAACAGAATCCCTTGCTTGTCAGAGCGGTACTCCAGCAGACAGCCTCTGTTGTGAGTCACATTTCAAGCCGTAGTAAACAATGTGTGACAGTCAGCGCAAGGGACAAGCGGAGTATAGGGGCCGATGATGAGGGGAGGGTGGGGGGAGTGCGTGGATCGGGGGAAGGACAGAAGGGGGAGACCCGAAATTGCCTGCTCACAGCCCCATTAGGTGTCCGGGGCCAATCAACGACTGGAAGCTGAAACTCACTAACCAATGGCCAACCCGCCGCTCCGCCCACCTCGCATTGTCAAAACAAAACTTTTCCTTGACCTATTTGAAGCGGCGTCCGCTGCTCTGAAGGGGAATGACGCCCCCAGTCGGTTTATGACCGCTACTGCACCCTGTGGTCGGACTTCAAAGACTCAATACATTTTATTTTATTTTATTCCACTTTGAAGATTTGGTTTCTACCACATGACATTCGAGCTCAGATGTTATGCACCCGAAGCCCTGTCCCTCCCTTCCTGCAAACTCCATTCGCACTAAAACCTCTTCCTCCGAGTTTGGACAAACTCAGCCTCTAATGATATTAAACAGGCGCTGCACATCAGCTCCATCCTTTGGCCTCTTCACCCTGTCTTTTATGTGTGTGTGTGTGTGTGTGCTGCAACAGATGGTGTGCACAATGGGCTTTCCCTGCAGGGACACAGAGGACCAGAGTCTGCTTCAGCAGAGGAAGAGGAAGAACCCGCCTTGTAGCCCAGAACCATACACCTGTCTTGTGCTAGATACGTGACCCCCCCCCCCCCCATCCCCCCCCCCCCCCCCCCCACACACACACACACACACACACACAAACAAAGTCCCTGGAGCTGAAGAACTGGGATGGAGCTGTTAAACTTCAACACGAATAGGTCTGGGTTTTCTCCGGGCCAGTGGATGGCCTAATACTTCAGTGTTGTCCCTTTGCAGAACACTGGCCCAGATTCTTTTCACCTGCCTTTTTACGTAGAATAAATTGAGGATTTGAATATTAGGTACAACTTAGAATACTAATTATGTGCCTCAGTCCCATGCTCAAAATTTCTGCCTTGGTGGATATTGAACTGAATTCCCAAATGCATAAAATTAATACCCAAGTGTGTCTTTCACATTTTTCAGCTAGAATTTATGTTCACTAAATTGTTTATGAAAACATGTTGTGTTAAAAATGCAAATTAATCCTGAAAATGAGTCTTTAAATCAGTTTCTCACAGAGCATATTCTGGATAACATTTGCTTACAAATATCGTTGAAAATCAGCACAAATTTTGAAGTCTTTAAAAACTCTGATTCGATAAATCAAACAGCATCCCTGAGCTCATTTAAACAGCGGCTAAACATAATGAATAATAAAACAACCGTGGTGCATAAGAGAAGACAATTTTAAGTGATTTTAGCTGGACAAAGGTAACATTGACATGTAAAAGAAAAATATACCATTTTAAGGAAACTATGAATTCAAACATTAAAGACCAAGCTCACTCATTTATTCAACACATTTGCAGTGCTCTCTAGAATAAATACATGCCTTGTGAGTTGACCTCTGTTGGAAAAAAAAACCCTGGCGCTCCTGTTTCAGGAACAAGAAGTGAGCCGGAGCAGAGGTGTGCAGAAGAAAGCAGTTCTGGAGTCTTTTTACCAGATATTTTAACATCTCACCTCTGATTGGCTAACAGCAATATGACTGTACCACTGACTTTGTTTGCTCTGCATTGATATTTTATCTCCACAATCAACACAAGCCTGAAGGAGTTATGCTGCGTTGTGGATTTGCCGAAGCTAACAGTTAGCTTCATCTAGCTGCTCTCTCTCTCAAATGCTAAATCACCACACCCTTCCAAGTCACTACAGCCCCCTTCAGACAGGCCTTGAAAAACGGAAATGTTCCGTACTCTGTCCGTAACATCTTTGTGTCTGAATACAAACATCTGAATAACGTTTTCCGTAATTAAACCGGACGAAGCCCCTAGTAACAGGTCCGGACTTGTTACGGACAGGGTGGCTGCTTCAGACTGGTGAGGTCGAGTACCGGACAGGGAGGAGGGGGAGGAGGAGGGGATCGGGGACACTGTGCGCACCTAGATAGCTCGCTTCTGTAGCATGCGGCGAACCATGGCAGCTTGCCTCCTACGGTACCATCTAGACATGCGACGGAGCGCTTCACACCGCTTCAGTGATTCATTTAACCATTGAGCTTCATCATACAGGTCTCTTATGCGGATTGAATTGTCCGCACATATTCCAGAATGTCTATCTGAAAAGGGTTTAAGATGGGTGAGTCCATGAACATGAATTTGACAACAGGGCATGCTATTGACTGGCTCTTTTAATCAGAGCAATGCCTCTATTTTCTCTTGGCAGCTAATACAGGAAATCGGGGTAGAAGACTATTTTCACATTTAGCCTGCATGTTAAACTCAGTGTGAGTGATTTTATTTAAAAAATAACAACTAATAAATGTTCTCAGTGAACGTGGTCTTTAAGCAAACCTCTATGGTATTTTTAAGTTATTATGCAATTCTCTTCACTGCAGCAAAACTCACAAAAATATATCTAAGAGTAAAGACATGTCTTCAAAAAAACATCAAGTGTGTAACAATTTGGAGGAATGTAGATGGCCCACCTAAACTGTGCTACGCTATCCTGTACTGTACTTTACTATACAGTACTATACTATGCTATGCTATGCTACACTATACCATACTATACTATGTTATGCTATACTATACTGTACTGTACTGTACTGTACTGTACTATGACTTACTGAACTATACTGTATGGTACCAGACCATACTATGACATACAATACTATGACAAACTTTACTACACTACATTATAATAATAATAATAATAATAGTAATAATAATAATACATTTTATTTAAAAGCGCCTTTCAGGACACCCAAGGTCACTTTACACAAAACACGTAATAAAATACAATAAAACAATAATAAAATCCAAAGAAGAAAAAACAAAGAGAGAAACAGTTCAATAAAATCAGAGGTTGTAGGCAGATTTAAACATGTGTTTTGAGTTTTGTTTTGAAAAGGGTAAAACTGTCGATGTTCCTGATGTCTGGGGGAAGTGAGTTCCAGAGTCGAGGAGCAGAGCGGCTGAAAGCTCTGCTCCCCATGCTATGCTTTGTACTATGCTATACTACACTACACTACACTACACTATACTATACTATACTATACTATACCATTCCGTACTGTACTGTACTGTACTATACTGTACTATACTATACTATACTATACAGTTCCGTACCGCACCGTACTGTACCGTACTGCACTGTACTGTACTGTCCTATACTACACTATACTATACTATACTATACTATACTATACTATATCGTGCCATACAATATACTACAAAACATTACAAAAGGTCAATGGAGGGAGGATAGAGTAAAATGAGAATATTGTTCTGAACAAACCTCAAAAATCTTCCGCCATACCCATGAAGGATTATCCCACCTGTGTGGAAAATGACTAAAATCTAACAAAAGTACACAAATGCATATTCTGAAGAAATAATGTAAATTAGAGAAAACGATAGAGACAATGCTATAACTTAAAGTTCCAATGGGATCTGGGAGACTCAGTTCTGTCTCTTTCTTTGCTTCAGCCTTTTTTGTTTTTCTTGTCTCAGATTTGCTTTTGAGAGAATTAAAACAAATGTTTAGCTTAGAGCTAAGGAAGTTATCTTGAACTTACGACCCACATTTTTGGGTGTCACTAAAATGTGTGAATTGTAATAGGATAACCATTTCCCTTTAAACGTATGCAGCTTACTTCCATCAGCTCTAAGTCATTTGGACTGTGTCCCTCTCTTGTGCCCCGCTGTGATTCGACTCCTAGCCTTTCCAATGACAGAAATCAAACCTGCTGTGAATGGACGACGACTCAGACATTATAAATGATTGTTCCAGTTGCGGCAAACAAATGAACGGGGGCAGACACAGGGCTCCGGGAACACCAGGCAGCCGGTGCTAACCTGGGAAGGTAGAAGATGAGAGCATTTGTCATTTTTAATGGTGTGGTGAGGAGTGGCACAAAAGTGAGGCACTGCATGGCCCCTGGTGCTGGGTGGTTTGTTGGACTCTCATAGCCACCTAGTGTTATTTTTCACGCACCAGTCATTATACTGTTCACCTCCATGGGTCATATCCACAAAGGCCGGTAGGAGAAAACTGTCTCTGTTTGCTGTCAGTGGCCTGGGGAGAAAGAAGGAAGGAAGGAAGGAAGGAAGGAAGAGCATGAGGCTAGCGAGAACAATAGCACTTCTGCTGCTGCACAACCTCCCTTACACACACACACACACACACACACACACACACACACACGATAGCACACGTGTTTATAGTCATTCACCTACTCACTACACCTAAAATGCTCCACTTCAGCTCAGAAGCCTCCACCCAACACCAACAATGAGCCTAAACTCAAAGTACCTATCTCTCAATGTGGCCTGTTTATTTTTTATTTTTTATTAACTAGTTATCTAGTTCTATTTTCATTTAGCTCTTTCAGGACCAGGTTTTATGACATGACACGGCAGTAAGCTCTGATTTCAGATCCAATAAGTGGACTTCACACTTCACTTATGATTTTGCCCTCTAAACATCAAACCTGGACTTAATCTCTCATATCTGCTGTTTTTGGAGTGTTTTGTGGCTTTCTGAATGAAAAAAGGATCAAATTAATTAATTTAAAGACAAAAATCTTGTACATTTCCAACCACTACAAAACCAAACAGGTGTAAAACAAAACAGATTTTTAATTCGACAGGAAGAAAGATGTTTTGAATTTGTTTCATTATTCAAATGTGTGGTGCAGAGATGGAGAAAAGGAAAAGCGTAGCTGTTGACAGCCCCTCAAACACCAGAAAAGAAATAAAAGATAATGTTATTGGTGCAGAATGAGAAAGACAGTGAGATGAAAGATTTGCTCTTTCAAAGTGAGTTTGAAGATTGGTCCAGGCGATAAATATGAATGAATGAAATAAAAGCTGGAGTCAAAATGGAGACAGGATTCAGGTGACAGAGGGGAGCGGGGCTAACATTCACCCTCAGGGCACCAACTGGCTAGCAGGTCAAGCTTTTGCTCCATCCATCTTCAGAGGTC